TCGAGAGCGGTCGAAGCGCCTGTAGCGTTCCTCTCGTTAGGTCCGCGCTACCTCAACGGGGGGTTGCCGCCCATAACTCAGCCAAAATATTCGCCTACATTCTGCGCGGTGGTGCACGGGGTTAGGAACGCGCGTATATATACCTCGTCGTAGGGCCAACTTTATCCGCGTCGTGCACACACAAACACACACATACACACACACACACACACACACACACACACACACACACACACACATTCTTTCGTACAGGGCTAGCGAGCACACGCACATACATGGTGACGTACAATGCACGCGACTAAGGAAGGAGAAGGAGGTTGAAGCACAGAAGGTGGTGGGTAAGGTAAGGGAGGGTCGGGTGGCGGCGGCCCTCTGGAAGAGGGTCCGCCGGGGAGACGCGGTCGGTGTGTAGCAGGGCCATGAATTATGCAGTTCGCCGCGGGCTAGGGCCTCGCACGCCGGCAGGAGGGAGAGAGACGAAGAGGGACTGTGGGTAGCGGCGTGAAGCGACGGGGGAGCGACGGAGACGGCGAGCATAACCCACACGGTCCAGAACCACTCTACCCTCCTCCTCATTCTTCCTCCCTCCGCCGCCTTCACCTGCACTTCCACCTGAGTCTCCGCCACTACTCTCCAGTCTTCCACCTTCACCGACGCCGCCTCCTCGACGCTACGCGCGCTACACGCCGCCGACACTTCACCCCGGCCGATTGAAATTTTCATACCGGCACGTCTACCGTTCCAGTTTATGTTCCGAACAAGTGAAATGCACTCGCTGCCGAAGCGCGCGCCGTTTCTCTTCCTCCGAGTCGCGTCGGAACTCTTCGGCTTTCCTTTATCCTTTTCCGCGCGCGAGGGGATAACCCGACGAGACAAGAGCGAACGTCGATATCCTCGAAGCGCGCTCGCACCTTTCAGCCTTTCTGCCTGTGCGCGAATCTCACAGGCGCGCGTCCGATTCGGCGGGGGAGGGGAGGGGGGGAACGCGCGATTGCTTCGCGAGCGTACCGCTATCAATTCCACGGCCAATTTTTTTTCCGCGATACCGGGAAAGAGACCGCTTTATGTTTGTTTGGCACGCGCCAGACGAATGAACAATCGAGTCGTTAAATATTTCACTCGTGACTCCCCACGGCGACGATAACTACCTCTATATAGGCAAAATCAATTGAAATTTTCATGTCAGTCTGTCTGCCGTTCGGGCTAACGATCGCAAAGAAGCATGTAGTATTATTATTTTATTAATTTTACCTCTCTTTTTTTTTATTCTACTTACAAGACATTCACCTTTCTTTAGACTTCGTTAAGTCAGAAACACATTCCCTTTGTTCGATACGTTTGTGATGTAACAGGCAAATGTGGAACTCGTCGATATTATTGAAGCGGCGCTTTCGGCTTCTTTACCTGACTATGCAGATTTCAGCCAGTTTCTCATGTAACGGCGCGCCGGTGATGGTGCAATTGGAACGAAAGAGCGGTAATGACCCGGTTCAAACTTGGCTCGTGCTCGTCGAAGCGGAGTCGGCAGTATCAGGATTCGATAGCACTTCATTTGACAAAGGGCATAGGAGAGCGGTACCTATTGCTATTCTATTGGCAATAGGTACCACTCGAGCGCAAACGATGTCACGAGTCGATAGCCAAGTGATGGTCGTAACTGAGATAAAATATTGGCATGTAAAATTACTTCTGGAGTGGCACTCGGCGAGCGATGCTGCCTGGTGGAAAGGTCGTTAAACTTTTTCGCTCTGTACGGAATGATCTATAGATAGTAACGTCCAAACTACGCGCAGAACTTTGGAAATAGTGACGTCATAATTTAACTTTGGAATGGTACGGCTAATGTAGTCATAATTTTGTTCCAAAATTTCTATAGCTAATGCGTCAAATTTTTAGCCTTGACATTGACACGACTTTATCGAAATATCATGTCACGCTTTCAGCACTTAATAATGACTTTCTCGGTGAACAGGCATAAATTAATGAGACGGCATTGCTCTTTCTATTTACGTTTGTCGATTTTACGATAGGAGTTTAATCCATTGGGCATGGAATATTTATTCGAAAATCTTGCAGAATAAAATTAATGACCGGTCGCAATTCACGCCGTTTCGCACTTATGCGAGCAAAACATCGCGCCGGACGACGCCGGATGCGTCAAATACAGGCGTTTGAACCTTAGCACACGTGAAAAGATCGTTACTCGTGTCGTGGACGTTATCGTCCTGTTAATGTGCTGATTAGATTATGCGACGAGAGCGCTCGATGCTAGAACTACCCTGCGCGACGCCACGCTAGAGCGCGGAGACACATACCTTTTTCAGTGAATCGTAAAAGAACGCGAACCGTCGCGCCCGGTTTTGTTGTCCCCGGCGACGAGTTTTACGAGCGCGCGGATTAATTATTCCGCAGACGGCGAGAAGTAACCGAGGTTATACGTACACGAGAGAAGGGGGAAAAAAGCGCGATATCGCGTTTCGGTATCGGTCGTTTTTAACGTCCACCGTCTGCGGCTTAACGCCGCGAGGAACTCAGAATAGTTGCAGAAATACGCAGCTGACGCTCGCAAATTAGCCTGCGGCAATCCGCGGCGGAGCCAACTTCGCGAGCGCATGAAATGAGATCGCTTTGAAGCCCCGAAGTTTCCGTCGAGCCCGTTTCGCGAGAAAGAGGCCGCGTTCGCGCGCTCAATTGAATCCTTTTATCCCTCCGCTCGTCGTACACCTGCGGTTTAATATATTCTTTTTTTAGTTTTTTTCCCCCCTTTTTTTCAACAATATTTCCCTCGCTGCTTTTCGCGCTTGAACTCCAGGAATAACGCATCGGAACACGGTAAAATACGATTCGCGTTCTCTCCTCGGCGGACAGCGTTCGCTCGGAATAGAAATTCCTCACGTCTTACGCTTTGTACGTGAGATCGCGTATCCCTACGATAACTTTGTGGCTGCGGGGCCGCTGTCTAACACTCCGGCTCGTTTCATTTCGCCCGCTGCCGCGCGGTCGATCTGGCCGGATGAAAATCAAAGGTTCCAAGAAGCGGAATGGCCGAAAGGGTTAATCTGTTATTTGCACCACGAGGCGAATGTCTAGCTCGTACTCGCCAATCGTCGAAGAGTTATTATGCGGAGCGATGACAAAGCAGATAGGCGGCCTGGAGCTTGGCGGCGTGTGTAGTCGGTTGCAGGCGATTATTAATTATCAGCGAATAACAAGGTGGATCGAGATCACGCGTACGCACGAGGAAGATCGGCGAGACCCCGCGTACGATACCGTCGCGCTGGTTTTATCAGGACCAGTCTCGTCCCGTCGCGCCTCACGTCAGCCCTTCACCAGCCCGTTGCAGCCGTTCTGTTCTCATAAATCGTTTATTCATGTTTAATGCAGCCTGGTATTCGGAACCGAAAGTTTTCGAAGCTCTCAGACGGAGAGAGCGCGACTGCGACAGAAATCGGTGGGTGGAGACACGGAAACTTCGAACAAGAGAATGCTTTTGCATCGAGGCGACGCCTGAAACCAGCTCGAAAAAAGTCAAGGGAAACTGTGGAATCGCATCCGCACACGCCGTAACGGACCGACCTTTCACCGACTGTTTAGAAGACGAGTCTGCCGAACACGGCAGCCTTTCACACGTGTACGAAAACGTCCATCGACGAACGCTCGATTTGCGACACTCATTCGATCGCCGAGTAGTTTTGTATTCTCGAGTTTCGAAAGTTCTCGCCTCGCCGGAGAGACCGAGCGAGAGCGGCCGCGTTAAATATTTATGACAAACAATAAGATAACTGGCAATTGTAGGTCGCCGACTAATTTCGTCGTACGAAAAAGGACACAACGTGAAGTTTTTGTGATTGATGGTGATAAAAACGTTCGGAAGAAGTACTTCGACCTTTAAAGAATAACCAAAGTTTTCGACGTTATTTATGGCAAAGTGGATCGGTAGGTCGCCGCGGAGTCATGTCAAATCGCAAGAAAACTCTCGCGATTGAAGAAACTACCCCGGACTTTTGCTCTCAACAAACAACTCAATTACACGGAGAAATAATAATCGCAAACCCGAACGAATAACGCGCTTGAGAAACGACGACAAAATATGACGCGAAGCGGTTTTTGAGATGAAAATCGAATAATCGCTATACTTTCATCGAAAGTTTTACGTAATATCCATTCATATATAATTCATCGTATTTCAATGTGTGCGTAGCGTGCGCGCTCGCGGAGAGGATCTCCATTTTCCAATGACAAATCCCGCGCTTTATCACCTTATGATGTATACACTTAGAGAACTCACGCTCGACTTACAATTCAAAGAATGATTTCCCTCAGCGCGAATTCTGCACGGATCTCAGGGACGCGGTGGGGCGAGAGGGACGGAAGGGAGACAGAGAGACGCTGAAGGAAAAACGGAGAGGAGCGAGGAAATGAGAGAGCGAGAAAGAAACGCGTAGGAGAGGCTCTAATCCGTCCTTCAGGGGGGGCTTAAGCTCGTCTTCGTGTATCCTGCGCTCAGAGAATACCGTTTAAGGTCGTCCGTCTGGGAGTCCTCCACGTCGGGTAAATATTTAGGAATTTTTGAAGAGTCCCGAGTGCCTAAGAAAACAGTTTACTCCGTAGGAAGGAGGGATCCCTCCCGG